AACTCATCGAGAACTAATCATCGTGTAAAAATGTATTTGTGCCTAAGTAGTGGTAGTAGTAGGGCAGATGAAACTGAATGCTATATATGCCAAATGTGGCAAGCAAGTTTGAAACTCACGAGTAATGGTCAAGTCCTTTGATGGATACCACAACACAGTGTTAAGCTTTTTCGACTTCCCGATTATAATTTCATTGTGTCAATTGTACTGAAGTAACAGCAGTACTAGTAGTAATAGTATATGTTCCTCATTCAAGTTTTCCTTTTGATGGTTAGTTAGAAGCATAAGAGAAGTTTCGAGTTACGCTGTCCTCATTTTGGACAAAGTAGACGGGTGCCTCACTGGGACGTGTGTACAATACACGAGGTCACACAGATGACTTTTTCAACCTGGTTGTTGGAAATTTAGCCTTGACTTTAAGCGGACCATGCAAACCAGTCACTACTCATATCTACCTATGGCCCTCATTCAAACAATTTGACCTTTTTAGTTCACTCCCAGTGAGCAGAGCAACTTAGTGCACTTTTAATCCGGACTACTCATTTCAATTGTTCGATCCAATTAACGGATAGAGATGTTAGCAATCCGAAAATGTAGTCAATCCTGTCGCTAACATTGCTCGTTAACTATTTTTTGCCGACTTTCTTGTTTGCTTTCGTTGACTATATTTCAGTGAACCATCAACCTACCCTTGGTGCAAAACTCCCCAGGGGTTGGAATTTCATTGTCTTTCCTACGACAACGCCTACGGCAGCTGTGATCTGATAAGATACGGACAAATATTACCTTCGGAATACCGGTATTTTACTAGCCTACCCGGTGTGGCAAGTTCTGATTTATCATACTATGGTAGTTCGAATTTCTTGGCTGACTATTGTCCATCAATCCAGGTGAGCTTCAGCTGTGTGTTTATGAGTTCCCTGAGTGTTTCAAAGTCTCAGTCTTTATCAGCATCACCATGCACTTTCGTGCTGTGATTTCGATTGCTCTCTCATGGCCACCCATTTGAATGAGGGAGTAAAAGGAAGACTGGGATGTTCAAATCCGAGTCAGGTTGAAAACAGAGAATTCATGTGGACTAAGGTTGCAAGGATGATGAGTGGATATACGAGTGTCACTGTTCACGATACTCAGCCATATCACTTACTGTCTCTAACCAGTGCTCCCAAGAACTCCATCCAGGATGCCTAACGCGAGCAAGTCTTCAGGTCAAGGTTTTCATACCTCCATACCGGTGTTAATTTGACCACCATTAATTTTTCTCCGCCCATCACAGTTCTATGAATCTGTTGCCTGAATCTACGGAAAGATAAAAACCTCAGATTTAACCCTGAGGGATTAGTCTACGAATGACTAGTAGTTTGTCATCCGAAACAAAATGAGATTCAGAAATTTTCGCCCCCAGTTCGGTCCAACCTAGATTAGCTATAGTCCCATAGAAATAGACTTTATTCCACACTGTCCGTCCTGTGCGTAACTCCAAGCCGTTTACTTAATTATCTTGTCTACTCAATGAAGCTTATATGTAACTGCCTAATAGCCCGTCCAAAACGGTACGCTTAGAAAATGCCCCCAGAGTGACTTGTGTCTGTTACATTGCGTTCAATACCCCGGAGATCCGTTCCTGATCTAGACGCGTTTACAAACCTATCTCCAACAAGCACTGGTCGCACGGAAACTTTCCTTGAATACCTTTTATCTCAAAAGTAAAGTACATTACATGGCTAGACGGTGAATTTGAATGATTACATGAAGTGGAAAGTATCAAGGCAAAAAGGTTAGATCTATGAGGTCGGGATGCATTCCAGTTGTAATTGAAAAGAGAGCATTTGATATTGATGACTTAATGCACATCTCGGGAACCCACAAACCGATACATATTTCTGACCGTATGAGCATCAATGGGACAGCGGCCGCTGCCAGGTGCTTGACTAATCGATAATCGAATANTCCCCCCCCCCCCCCCCCGAACGAGACATATTTTCAATTTCTAAGGAAGGAAAAAACTGAAGGGGAGAAAAACCCCACCAATTGTCAATTGAAATGCTATCCCTGCAGAGAAATACATGCATGCTTGCTAATTCAAAGGGAACAAAAAGGAACATGTGCAGTGAAAACAAAGTAGAGCTAGTTGGTTGAAAGGTGGAGGGAAGCTCAATTTAAAACAAGCTCAGATTAGTTGGAACAGAAATGAAGCTTTTGAACCACATGTAGAACTGTTATTTTCAAGTCGTTTAAAATTCGGTTTTAGCACCAGACGCGTCGGTCTTTGGATAGGCACAATGATAATTAAATTGAGTTTATCCGAAAGCGCTCTGCAAACAATCCACAAGCATTGCCGAAGTTAGTAGAAAGCCAAGGATAGTCAAGCTAACATCTGGCACGAAGGTATGAAAACCTTACCCAGGAGACTGGGTCTTATAGGTCATGTTAGGCTCCCTGGATGGGGACCTCGGGATGATCGTACTCGATGGTTATAGGCACTGAGTGATATGGCTGTCGTAAACAGTGGCATTGGTGCATCTTCTCAAATTCCCTGCAACTTTGGTCCACTGAAATTCTAAATTTTCCCTATGATCCCACTTTCAACCTTTTCTGTTGTTCTTTTAATGTTCATCCAATTAGGAAGCTAAAGGACACCGACCGAAACCGACGCATTATAGTGCATGGTTAGGGGTTGTACAAAATGAACTGAGTGTAATCAAGATAGAAGGCACATCATCAACCTGGCATTATTTCTCTAGTACACATTTCCAGCATAGAAACAATTAATGAATTTTGTTTCATCTGTACTTCACCGTTTGATGAATCAGTATCCAAATGAAAGATAATGAATTGGTCATCTATCCTGATACCATATCTCACTATTTTGCTTTTTATGAATAGCAATATATGAAGATATATAATATCAATGTCTACAGATGCAACCTAATCTATGGGTTGCAATGATACAAAAAGTGCTTTTTATTCGTATTCTGTAATTGTTTTATTACCTCCAGCCAGCTATCCCTTTATGCTGACCTTATATTAAGCGATAACTCGAAATTATACCACGTTTTGTAGGAGTTGAGTAGTGTGCATGCCCTTGACTAGCGGGGTCGTGAGATGAACTCTGTGTCACTCTGACTGCTCGTAGACCAATCTCGGAACTGGGTCGGGCCCGTCAACTATCTGTCGACACATACAGAATGAAAAATTGGAGGGTCAGTTCCGCTAACCCGCACCGAAATGCAAAAGAATTCGTTTCACGTTTGATTGCACTCATGTGTCACGCACTCATTTTTCGTTTCCGTGTCTTACACCTAGATCTTGTCTTACACCTTTCATCTCGCTATAGATTGACCCTTTCTTTATCTTAGCGAATATGTGAAATGTGATCAGTAGATTCGGCAGATTTGATTCGTTTGCACGGGTGAACAAATTCTGTTGTTGCTTTTGGTTCCTTAACCTGCCCCCCCCACCCTCGCACAGTGAATTTTCTCGTCACGTAAATTAATTGCGATAAAATCTGGTAGTAACAGATGACCAGTGGTAGTTACAGGTCTACAGTGGCGTACAGGCAGTGTTTCGATCTGATTGTAAGACAAAGGGTATGGGTAAATCAAAAACACAACCCCAGTAAGTACGTGTAATAACGTGCAAAGCGAGAGAGAGTGACCACTCGGCGAGGTGCTTTCCTCTNCTTAGGTCGCCACGGATACTTTTCCTGGTTAGTAAGATGTCACCACGAATACGTCTATAGTTCTCCATGCACTGGTCCGTGGTGACTAGTTGCTGGTCATAACTATATGCACATAAACCAGCAACTAGACCGGTAGCTGCTCTCTGTACACATTCAATTTTCGACGTCTCTCCTCCGGTGATGGGAAAAGCCATCGCACCACCATACTCCAGACGGGGAAGTATCGCCGCAAACTACAGAAGTTTGAAGGCGTTTTTCGACAGCGAACTGACCGATCGGGGAATGGCTCCCAGGATGCTCCAGGAAGAAAAACAAACTCTGTCAGGGTGACTTCTGGTCTTGAGGGACGAAACGATGATCATCATTAAGTCCCTCTCATGGTCGCTGCTCCTGAGGAGAAAATCGTCAAGTGTGTAGGCCGGTCTGAGGTCACTGCGATCTATTCTCATGTGTACACACTTACCGATGTTGATGGGGAGCCCACTCCGATAGTCGATTCAAATCACCTTGGAAAACTGGTGACGATTGAAGTGGTATCCATAGTTGCAAATCATCTACGTAGACGAGGCATGGTGACTGTAGCCGGCTGGTGAGATCGTTCATATACAAAAGAAACAGAACGGGGCCCAGAACTGATCATTGAGGGACTCCACTGAGAACCTGATGCCAAGTGGATATTCAATCACGAGACCTCACCGCCGAAATTCGTCCCTTAAAAAATCCTCTACCCAAGCGAGTATGGAGTTTGTCACTCCAAGGCTTCGCAACTTCGAAAGCAGCCTATCGTGTGGGACCTTGTCGAAGGGTTTACTGAAGTCAATTTTAATTGCATACATAATTATAATTGCCCGATCCAGGATTCCAAAATGATCACCCTCCGATAAAGAATCTCGCCCAGGTAGCAGCCCCACACGTTGTGAAATAAAACAACCGAAAGCCTGCAGGAATTTATTTGTCGCGTAAGAGCATGCTCTATTTGTGCGAACGACGAAGGCCAAGAAAATTCACACTCATGTCGATTGGTTGACTGGGACGTTGTTCACTGTCGTGATTGAGTGTGGATTCCAACCAAACCTGGGATTGGTAATCCTGGAATACATCAGTGNCAAGAAATTGGGAACGTTATGGCTTGTCAATTACTGTCCGGTTTTCTTCCTACGGACACTCATGGAGGGTAAAACAAGAAATTACTGCAGTCATTAGGACCTATTGATTTAGTAAGTGAATCCGGTAATCCTAGCCTTCTGACTCGAAATTACGTCTCAATGAATTTCTCTATGATATAGAGCCAGTTGTTAGTCGAGTTCATTTTAACCGACTTCCTCGGAACGGTGAATTCATCACATATTGTTCACTCACCATAGCTTTTCGTGATATATATATATATATTTATATAAAGTGAGTCACCAAGCCATGCCTGAGTTTGCATATTCCAGTTGAACACAGGTATTTCTTTTGAAATATTCAGCTGGGTCCTTTTAGAATTACAGGCGAGCACTTCATAATTTCATGTGAGTAATGAAGGATTTGGTTAAATTTCAAATGGGAATTCGTCGTGTATA